CAGTGGCGGAAGTCAGGATATCAGGATATGCCGGAATATGAAAATTTCCGCCACCTTCTGCAAGCCCCAGTGGATGATGCACAGGAGATCCTTCACTCCAGATTTCCAATGCCGAGATACATCGACACTGAACATGGGGGCAGCCAAGTGAGTAGTGTTAGTTTGTGTGTTTGTTTGTTGTTAGGTTTTACAGTGAGATGTTCCTACTTGCCTTCTGACTTTAATTTGAATAAAGTGCCTCACAAGGCAAACAGAAAGGGAAGGAGGCAGGAGGGGAAGTTTGCTTGCTTTTTTTTTTTTTTTTTGAGACAGAGTCTTGCTCTGTTGCCTAGGCTAGAGTGCCCTGGTGTCAGCCTAGCTCACAGCAGCCTCAAACTCCTGGGCTCAGGTGATCCTCCTGCCTCAGCCTGTGAGTAGTGGGGACGATACAGGTGCACGCCACCACACCTGGCTGTTTTTTTCTGTTTTTAGTAGATGCAGGATCTCACTCTTGCTCAGGCTGGTCTCGAAATCTTGACCTTAAGCAATCCTCCTGCCTCTGCATCCCAGAGTGCTAGGATTACAGGTGTGAGCCACTGCACCTGGCCTTGCTTGCTTTATGCATTAGCTTTGAGAGCAAAGCAGTAAGATTATTGACTAGTTGCTTAAAGTTGGCAGTTTCCTTCATCTTCTGCCTCTAGCTCAGCTCTCTTAACAGGGCCAGGGTGGGATTGTGGTGGTAAGCAAGCTGTGAACAGCACGGAAAATAAAGTTTCTTAAAGCTATTTACTGATGAAGTCTATGAATGTGAAGTTTGTGATAACTCTTTTACATTTTCCTCATGTCATTTCCATTTTCTAGAAAATATTTTATTTTTTTGTTTTTATTTTTATATGTACATGTAATCTGAGATTTATTTATAGTCCTTGGTTTCATGCATGTGTGTCTCACATACATAAATAGACAGCAAAGTCCTCAAGGGTAGGAACAAGGCCTTATCCAATCCCATATCCCAAAAGTTGGCTAATAAAATACCTTATCAATCGTAGATACCCAATTACAATTGATTTAATTCTGAACAACTACATACCGTAGAAAGAAGAATTTGGAGTCTGGAGGAAAATATTATCCCTCTCCTATTCCCCTGTCCCCAGGTATAATTCTCTTATTATCAACAAAACTTGTATCTTAGAAGCAGAGAGGGAGAAAATGTGATTCAATCTCTGCGTTGAGAACCTGCTCCCTCTCCGCTCCCTTCCAAGCCCAGAAGTCATATTGGTTCCCAAATTTTACTTTCAAATAGCTATTTATTAAATTATCCTCAAATCACCCAATTTGAGTTGCTCTGTGTTTCCTACTGAAGCCCTGCCTGATTCAGGGAGAGCTATGTGGAGAAGTCTGAAAGACGAAGAGTCCGATGATCAGAGGCCATCAGGGAATCAGGAGAACACTAGAAAATATTTTAAATTGAACAATAATGAAAGTTCAACATATAACAGTTTGTGAGATCCCCCTAAAGCATGCCTTAGAGGGAAATCTATAGCACC